ATGTCTTCTGAACTGATTAACATCATTGTTGTACTTGTGTGTTGGAAGCGAGTATATTCTAGCAAACTCACTCACAAGTGTTGGTGTACATATCTCATCATTTCCAAGGCATAGCAACATTATCATGCTTTCAACGACTTCACCATTGTCTAGTGTGTATTTGCGAGTAGCGTTGTAGACGTTGATGTTGTCAACTTGAGTTGGCTCTATGTTGATGAATTCCGAGCAAGGAATCCATTCAAGTCGTAAGTTTTCATATTCACTTTCCAAGGAGGATTGAACCAAGTTGTCAATCGCTGGATTATTAACTCCTGACATTGTTCGACTAAGAAGTTTTCAAGTACAAAGCAGTCTCAACACTAATAACCGCGTGTGTAATGCTTAACTTTTTTTCCCAGGATCAGCACTTCCCCTACCATATTTAGTAGGTATTTTGCCAATACCTGAAGAAGACTGGCACGACACGAATTATGTTTAAACCAAATATTAATATGATGGACCGGTGAAGCCGAAGCTCTCGTACCAGTACCACCTTTTGTTTGAGGGGAAGATGCTACACTAGTAGATAATCAACCGCAATTGGCCGTTAGTCTCGCTACAAGCGTGCCTTGGTGAGGTTTGATCTTGAACTGTTTAGATCCAATTTCAAAAGTATGGAGCTACGCCATGCAAATGATTGCATTGCCCAGAGTATTCCGTTCTAGGCCACGGTTTGCAGAGAGCACTACAATGAATATTGGGCCAGGCATATTTTTAGGCGTGTTTTCTACCCATATGGTGCTTCTTTCCTGCTGCCAGCATTTGTAATCACACTAGTCAAAGAAAAGTTAGAACAAAGTTTTGAGTATGAAAATTGTGCTTAATACACGGACTAGTCTTTAAGATGGAATTCTTTTCTAGAACCTCACCGTCCGTTCTCTATCTTCTTTTCTTGATCTGGAGACACTTGCAGATAGCCCTAGTGGAAATAACATAATTATGTTATTTCCACTTAGTATAGGTTATTCCCACTCAGGTATGTGTCGTGATCCAATTTCTATGACACAGACTAAGGTGTCGTGATCCAATTTTTACGACACAGACTAAGGTATTTGAGTGATTAAAAAATTATCGATATCGAATTTGACTTTCTAGTCGATTTTTATTGAAAAGAAATACTCGATCTAGGTTATGACGTTCCGTCATTCGAGTGACGTGCGTTTTGCTTTTTACGACACAAAGATGAGTGGGTATAACCGATCATCAGATGACGTGCATTTTGCATTTGCCTGATCGATTTCGATTATAAGATACTCACCGATTTAGGTTAAGACGTACCGTCATTCGAGTGACGCGTTTTCTATTATAACCCAAATTCGATAACGTTATTTGTATACCGATTTGGTAACTGTGACCGATTTCCGTTGTTGAACCACATGTTAACTATTGAATGCTAGGTTGACCTCATCGCGAGTTTGATGACCCGATTGAATTATATCATCATTTGTGGGGACATATAGCTAAAGTGTATGCTATATATACGCTATCAGGTATATTACACATATGCTATCTAATTGCTATCGGGTATGCTATATACATGCTATCAATTAATGCTACCGAATATGTATGTTAAGCGTATCACGTAAATGCTATCGATAATCTATCATGTATATGCTATCAGGCTATGCTATCAAAAAATACTATCGGTATATGCTACCAAATATGTATGTGCAATTGCTATCAATTAACGCTATCTAATTACTATCGCGTATGCTATATACACGCTATCTAATTGTTGTCGAATACGTTATATTAGAATATGCCGATTTTGATTACCAGAATTTTTGATACCAGAAATATGTCCTGCGAACATACGTAGTAAAAAAGTGGGTTAACTTTGACTAATTATATAGGAAGGCGGGTATATAACTCCCATAATTATTATATAATATTACTGAAGTTATACACCCCGAAAATATACCCAGAAACATGTTGTCAAATGGTATAATACTACTGAACTTATATACTCGAAAACATATATCGAAACGGGTATATAACTCCCATTTTTCTTATATAATATTACTGAACTTATATACCCCGAACACATATCATCAAAATGGGTATATAACTTCCATTTTTCTTATAATATATTACCGAACTTATATATACCCAAAGTATTCACTAATCGAGATCGTAATTCTTTTCATTCATCTCACTAAAACTCGATGCATTTTTTTGATATCGCTATGTACCAACTGAAAAAATTAATTTAAACTTTTTCAAACTATATTGTAATAATATAATCGAACAAAGATTGATACATACCAATAAAAAACCAAATACGAAAATGAGTAAACAAAGCGCACAACTCGAGCGGTACGGGGGCGGGGAAACCGATGACTATTCAAGCGACTTGGATACCTATAGCGACAACATATCCGTCCGAATGTGGATCAGACAATAGTGATTATGGCTCTGATTATGAGTCAGATACCGAGACCAGTACTATTAAGTCTCTAATATCCCAACCCCCTAAAGTAGAAGAACAAATATCTAATACGACATATTCCACAGAACAAGTGACCCCCACATATTCTAAAAGGCAAGAAAGATTCGATGATAAATTTACACAAAAAGATGTGATGAATAAAATCCGTAAAATCGTTTCTTCACCTACCAGAGATATGTCGAACAATAAAGGATCATTAGAAGATATACATTTATGGGATTATCTCTTACCTAATTATGGAGCAAAAGAAGGAATTAGTCTGCTCGATGCATATACACGGGAGGAGTTGGCAAATAAATTAGTTATACAGGTAGAACAGGGTGACTACAAAAAATTCTCAGTTGTAGATGATATCTCAGAAGTGTATGGGATTTCTGGAATCCATGAATGCGTTAATGGCCAAAACCCGTTAAGACCAGTAATCGATATTGACGCATCTAAAGAAAGAATGGAAGCTGAAAACGTGAATACTAAAAATGTGTTTTTCAACATTTGTTGTTCATTTGTAAGAGCATTGTATCGAATTCTTGATTGTAGTTGGGAAGAAATTATTAAAGGATTGGTAATTATGACATCATCTGATGATAGTAAATGCAGTTATCACCTCCTATACGCTCCAACTCTTCTTGTTGATCACCTGGAACTTAAGGAATTTACAGAACTGGTATATAAATTGACAGGAGAAAAATATAGAAAGTTTATTGACAGGGGATTACCAGGACAAAATTTTAATCTTCGTCTTATTGGTTCAGCAAAAAAAGATCGTGTAAAGCGCATACTTCAATTCTCACTAGATAATGGGTGGAGTGATCTCAATGACAGCCGAGTTCAACCACCTACTAGTTTGAAATATAAAGTAAGGCCCCGTATACTTAGTGTAAAAATAAATAATCCGAAAAAAATAATAGTGGGCCAAGATGCGTTAAAAAAATATGCAAATCTGGTTCTGCAGAAATATCCTGATTATCTTGGTGGTTGGGATATCGAAGAAAAAAATTCTCAATGGTATGTATATTTTAGCCGAAAAACATATATAGAATGTCCACTATGTAATCGCACACACGACAAGGATCAGCGGTGGTTTGGTCGTGCATATGGTAATGGTTCATTCATTGTGAAATGCTTCCAGCAAAACCGTAATGAATCAGGGGAAATTTTCAATGACCCATCTATCGCAGAAAAAATCCAGCAAAAGAATAAAAATAATACCCCACCACCTGTTTCTCATAAAATAAAGGGCCCTAAGTTTCCAAACCCTTTTTTAGAAATGCCAAGTTGGACCAATTGTGAATCCCCTCTTACTGCAACAGAAACATATGAAGAGAGGTATATAAAACTATTACCTAAAGAGGGTGATGTATACGTGGGATCAGCATGGGAAACGGGGAAAACATATGCCCTCGAACATCTCAGAACTCCTGATAATATAAATTTGCTTGTATTATCTACGCGTCATACCTATTCTAGTGCCGTTACTACAAGACTCCATCTCAAATCATATTGCGATATTGACACTAAAAATATAAATCTCCCAGATCATCAAAGAGTGGTGTGTCAAATAGAAAGTTTACATCGTATTACTAATAATTGCAAATGCGATAAAAAATGCAAATGCCCCCCAAATCAATACGATTTATGGCTAGATGAGGTAGTATCCGTGAATATTCAAGCCCATACTTATTTAGCGGGGCGATCAAGAGAGCATTTATATAAGTTAATTCATGAAGCGAGACGAATTATTGTTATGGATAACGATCTAACGGATCTCAATATAGAATGGATTAAATCACTTCGAAAGGGCAAGCAATTTTCAGTTATCCATAATACCTACCAACCCCAGAAAGGTAAAATATTCCGCTTAGCTCCTAATAAAGAAACTGTGTTAGCTGAACTTTGGGATTGGGCTAAGCAAATGTCTATATTACCCTTTGAGAAACGAAAAAGCGCATCACTCATCTGCCATCTCAGAAAAGATGTACAAGGAATCGTTCGTGCTCTTAGGACTGACTTTCCTGAGTTACGTATTAAAAATTATCATGGTAAATCTGATCCAGTAGAAAAGGTTCGTGATTTTAGTGATGTAGAAAAAGCATGGAAAGATGTGGACCTAGTAGCATACACTAGCACTTTAAAAATTGGTGTTTCTTGCACTAACCTCAAGTTTGAACGAGCATTCTGTCTCTTTAATAGTTATATAGAAACAAATGCTGGGACCAATCAGATGTTATTCCGTATGCGAAGCGTTAAAGATTATATATGTTATATTGAGCAAAGATCATCAAATGTTCCAATTACAGAAGAGGGGTTATTCAATTGGCTATTAAAAGCAAAGCGAGAATGTCTTCCTCAGAAACTACAGAATAGGGGGGTATTTCCAGATGTAGAGTCTATTATTCGAAATAAGAATATTCCAACAATTCGATTATGGGTGGCGTATATGTTGGAAAAATTCCGATCTCGTCGCTTATTTGGATGGAGAATGGTAGATTGTCTTAAACAAGCAGGTATGATTGTTTCAATAATAGAAGTTACTCCTAAATCTGAAGATTCTGTATCATTAACTGAAGCAGTAAAAATATGTTCTTCTGTTATTAAAGCGGAGGAAATCTCAGATATCGCTAGCGCCAATATTCTCAATCACGAGATGGCTGAGCACCTAGAAAACAAACCAAAGAAGACTTTAAAAGAAATACATGCTTTAACCCGGTATCATATTGCAGAATGTTATGGGATACCTCCCGAATATCTGACCGAAGAATTTATTAAGGATTATGGTAAATATGATGAAATGAAGTGGTTTAAAAATCTTCGGAAATTACGAGATGCAGGTATTGATAATAAGACTGCAGTTGAGGCAATTACCCGTGAGGATTATAGAAATGATAGGCTCACAACCGTTACCAGGGCTGAAAAACATCGAATCTGTCTGGAATTAATAAAGATTTGTACAACAGTTAAAGATATTGATGATCGAAATAGATATAAAGTTAATGATGTTAAAACGTGCTTAAACTCATCAGAATCAATACAATACCTCCAAAATTTAGTACCAAAAATGGCTCGGGTTTTTGATAATACAGACGCATCTCGTAGTGCTAAAAAATCTGGCTTAAAATCGGATAAAGCAAAACTTGGTTTATTAAATTCAGCACTTTCTGCATTCTATGGGATAAAGTTTAAAACTACTAATAATAAAAATACGCATTACCATTTAGTTGGAGCATTTGACAATGAGGGTGCTCCCAAATTACCACCATATCAAACGGGCGAAGATTGGGAGAATGGAGAAGATTGGCGGTATTCTTATAGTAAACTCTCACCTGATGAATTAGAACCACCTCCTAATTCTATCTCACAAAATACCCAGGATTTATTCGATATCATTTAAAACGGGTATTTAGGATCCATGATATATCTTACAAAGGGGGGGGTTTTGTGACGCTTAAAAATGATAGTTGTAAAAAATATCCCACTACGAAGACCATTTTTGTGACGCTTAAAACTAATATCTAATAAAAGTGAGTATAATTATTCATCTGCTTCTATTCTCTGAACCTTTTGTCTCTCATACCAATTTCGAAAGTAAACCCTCTTCGCATGTTTAGGACAATATCCCGTCCCAGAAATTGTTAGTTTTCCACAGATCCCACAAGGAAATTTGCTATATTCGTATCATATAATTTCCAGTGCAACGAGCACCCTATGTCCCGCCAACAACTTTTTCCACAAATCGAACCATCTCTTTTAACATATGGGCAGGTTGAACGCCCCGGACTATCTCTTTTAACATATTGATATGTTGAACACTCCGAATCGTCTTCTTTAACGTATTGACTGGTTGGATACCCCATTCAAAGTGATTTAATATATAACGTATAAAGCCCGTTTCACTTTTTTATGTAAATATATTTAATATAAAATCAATTTAAACTTTTCCAAAGTATTTTGTAATAATATAATCGAATATATATTGGCACTATACATCACACTAAAAAATGGAAACACCCCAGAAGTAGTCAACTTATTAACCAAGAGAGAGATCGATCACAATGGGCCAACATTCCGCAAACTAATGCGCGATGGCTTTAGGTACGTAAAAGATTTAGCAGAATTTCTACAATTATCAGATATTATGGACTATTATTATCCTGAGCAAATTAGATTCATGAACGCTCTGTCCCATCCAGCTATGATACCACCGACTGATGTAATGGAAAATAGACCCGATATTTACAAGAAATGGTCCATAAGTATAGAAAAATACCGGAATCTATTCCAAGCATTATAGCGATGCTAGTATCTTTGACACATAAAAAATAGAAGATAATAATAAACTGATATACTATAAAGCCTGAGTCGCCACAACTCGAAGTTATAATTTTTTTTTCGTAATAAGCTATATATTAGTAAGATTCAAATCAACGGATCTGACCCGACCGATTCTTTTCAAATATCTGCTGGCGATATCTGGATTAATATATTTTATTTTAAGATATAGT